TGAAATTCCTGTTGGACTTTAGGTTGGCAAAGTGCAGCCGCTCGGGCTGGAGCTGGGACAGGGCTCCAGATTATCCCTGAGCCGGATGGAGGGATCACATTTCCCACATGGAACTGGCATTTCAGTCAAGCCTTGGGAGGCCCAGCCCCTGTGCTCAGTGCTCTGAGGTGTGTCAGGGCACAAACTCCCTGCTGGCATTGCCAGGGCAAGGAGCAAACTGGGCTCTGGCAGTTCCCAGTGCCAGCAGGGCTGGTCCTGGGGCTGATGTGTCCCTCAGGAAGGTGCACAGGGCATGGAGCAGCTCAGATCCTTCTCAGACATTCCCTATGACAGCTCAGGTCCTTCTCAGACATTCCCCAGGGCTCACTGGCTGCTCCAGTGACCTTGGGTTTGGGCTCCACTCACAATTGACTCAGTGCAGGGCCAGCTCTCTCTGACACCCCTTCATTCAGAGCGTGATACAAGCAGCAGGACAGAGTCTGCAGCTGGCATCCCATCCCAACAGGCTATTCCTGCTCTCCATCCCATCCCAACAGGCTATTCCTGCTCTCTATCCCATCCCAACAGGCTATTCCTGCTCTCCATTCCATCCCAAGAGGCTACTCCTGCCCTGCATCCCGTCCCAACAGGCCATTCCTGCTCTCCATCCCATCCCATTCCTGCTCTCCAGGGCAGCCAGTGAAGGGCACATGAGCTGCCCTTTCTCAAGGGCTGGGGAGTGAAGCCCCAGCAGATAATCCACAAGACTGTTAGAGTTTGCTTTCCTGATAAAGAAGCATTTTATGAGGTATTAGGAATTGGATATTTCATGTACTTTGTTCAGAGAAGTTCAACACAAAGGAAAACACAGGAAGGGCTGAAAGAAGATCTGAGTTTTGCAAAGAACTGAACAGAACTGGGAAAAGAAATAATCCTTTAACTCTGTATCCCCTTTCTTCTACCTAAGCTGCTTAGAACTTCATCTGAATCCCTAACAGAGATGTGTTTCTAACGAGGGCTGTGGGGTCAGGGAGATGCTTTCCATTTCTGTTCTCCCCCTCATGATTCAGTTCTGCCAACTTTGCTCAGACATCCTTTGCTGGGAGGGAAGAAATGCCTGTGAAGCCACAGATATCAGAACTTCAGGGAAATGGAGGCAAAGAAACTTTGTTCTTGTCAGGCCCCCGTCAAACACGAACCACCTTCCCCTTCCCTCCCTCTCTGATCTCCCCCAGAGCTGCACGTGGCTGAGATTAAAGCCATTTCCCTGGATTAATGTGCTCCACACACAGCCCTGGGCAAAACTCACCCACAGAACAATTAAAGTTCCTGGTCCTTATCCCCCACAGCCAACATTTTTCAAACCAAACCAGTGGAAAGCGAGTAAGGACAAAGAGAAGCACTCAGGCACATCTGTGAGGGAGCAGAGCAGCTCCAGGTGGGACAGAGCTCCCAGGAACTGCAATGGTTGGCATTACCTACCCCCAGGAATGCAGAGAAAAAATAGGAACACATCTGAGAACAGCTACATTCCAGGCATCTATCAAATATTCTGGGTGGAGGGACTGAGACAGCAGTTGGAAAGCCAAGAATGGAGATCTGAGAGTTTGTGCTTATTCCAGTGATCCCTGGGAAGCACAGGACTGGGACAGGGAAGGGGAAGCTCCTTGTTTTCCCAGCTAACCTTGACAGGTCACGTTTATTCCTGGAAGAGTTTTATTGGTAAAGGTCCCCTCTGAGTCAGACTATGAGCAGTGAACCCTCTATAAACACACTGTGCCTGGGGACACCTTTGCTGACTCCTGCAGCACGGAATTCCAGCCCAGACAGTCAGAAACACTGGGCTTATTTGGGCCCAACAGGAAACATATCCTGGTAAATATTAGCTAAGATGTAGCCAGGCTACCTTCGCTGATTTAAATTAAAAGGACTTTAATTGCTGTATTATATAACTTGCTTTATATAATCTCCTGCAGACAGTCAGGGATATAGTCTCACCATGCTTATCCAGGAGGGAATTTGGCTCCTGCTGCAGCAAATCAACACATTTCAGCCGTGTGTGGGAGCAGGAGATTTGTTGAAAGGAGAATTCCTTTGTCATCCTGCCAGCAGAAAGGTGTAATTCTTCTGCCTCTTTGATCTGCTCGGGGGGAGCTCCAGCAGGGCTTGTGGAACAGCCTCTGAGGAGGGTGTGGAGAGAGGCAGGACAAGGATGGGGAGAGGGGGGATCTATTTTCAAGGTTCCAGGCTTGTTCTCAGCTCTTCTGTGATTATTTTCTGGTCAATATGTCCAGATCCTCAGTTAAATTTCCCAAGGTTTCCATGGAAGGCTGAATCAGACCTACCAGAACTGTGGTAGCAACTTATCATGACCCCCAGTGTGAGAAGATGGGGAGATTAGAAACCAGAATTCCTGTAGATTCCTGCAGATTCCTTCCTAATGTTCCCAATACCTTAAAAAAAGCCTTTTTTATTAGAAAATTAGAATCCTAATTCACTGGGATTAGGAGCCTCTTTATGCCTAAGGAGTCCATGTGCAGTTTATGATGGACAAGGTGATGCATCCCAAATTTTCACCTGCTATTCTGGAAAGGCCAATTTTCACATTATTGTTATAAAATTAACACCAGAGTCAGCTGAATGTTTTTGAACAATAAGAGTGTCAGAAGATAAACACTGGAAATTTTTTTTAATAGTGTCTTGCACAGGAATATTTTATTTTTGCTCAAACTATGCATTAACATGAACATTTTAAAAGTGAGTCAGGAAAATAAAAGCTGAGAATTGTTTAGAAAGTGTGACCTCCTTCCCCTTTCCTCGAATACATGCTTAAAGTTTAACCTTTGGCAGCCACATTTGCAACCAATAAATCCAACAGCAAAAGTTTCAAATGGGGAAAAGGTACATTACAAAGTGACCTTCATTTTTTTTCATCTTAATTTTACTGAGCAGGGGAAAGGTGGTTTCAGCCTCAGTGCAGAAGGAAGGCAACTGTGAGACACAGAAATAAATTCATTCTCAGGGCTGCTGATACTTACAGGGACATTAAATAACAGAATTTACTTCTGCCTTTACAACATGCAATTAATTTGTGCTTAGACTCCATCACTGTAATTTAATATTTTATTTGCTGCTGATTATCATATCTGAAGGTCCTTGTAACTGTGTCTGATGGGAGGATTTCTGGTTTAGCCAACTGAAAGTTGCCTACAGAGTAAAGGGACAAATTGCCAAACAGCAATTCTTAACTTCACAAAAATATTGTGGAAGTGGAGCCTCAGGGGGGACCCAGGGTCCTTTCCTATCAATGAGGAGTCAAACATCCAACTGGCACAGGCAGCTCTCAAATGTTTAAATGGCTAAAGTTAAATGAGACAAACGTCCCATTAAACTCCCATCAGTGTCAGCTGGAGCACTCTGGATTATCCCCATCTTGGATAGATGAAATTAGAGCTTAGGGGAGCGAAGCAATTCTTGCCACAAACATTTCAGCACATGAAATCCAGCACAATTTGGGCAGCCCATTTGAGAACAATTTGAGCCCAAGCATTTTGCTCTAACCAGAAAGGAAGCCTGGCTGGGACGGGATATGAGGCAGGGTTTGAGATAAGTGGTGAAGCATCTTGAGCTTGCTCTAAAAAAATAATTCCTAAGGGGTTTTTTGCTGTCCCTTTCTATTGGGAAGGGTGGTGCAGCTGTAAAGTAACAATAGCAAACACTTCCAAAGCTCTCAGCATCTCCCATCTCATCAAACCTGGGTCCTTCTAAAGAAAACATCCCCCCCAGCAGCTGCAGGACCCCAAAACCTCAGCTCTCTGTGGCTGGGGATGCTCATCCTTAGAGGCACAGCAGGCTCAGAACATCCTTTGTTTGAGGCAGCAGGAAGAATATTTTCCCCTCAAGTTCTTCCCTGATTTCAGTGGACATTTTGCCCCAAGACACCTGATCTCAGCACAGGGTTTGGTTCAGCTGCACGAGAAGAGTTTTGGTCACCAGAGGCTGAATAACGTGGGGTGGGTCAGAGCTGTGCACTCATCCACCATCCTCTCTGGCAACCAAACTTGTGCTTGGAGGCTGATAAACTCAGAATCAATTATTTCTAACAACAGTCCTAAGTTTTGGGTCAAAGTCAGTCCCCAGATCTGTGTGTGAACACAGCAGGCAGCCCCTGACTCTGCAGATCAACCTGTCCCCTGTCTGTGTGTCTGAGTGACTCCAACACTGCACATGGATCCATACTCCAGTCTGAGCAGGTGTTTTCTCCATCAATGACTCTTATTCCCTGGGTTCCCTGTTAACATGGCCAATCATAAAGTATAAAATCCACAGGGGTGCAGAGTTCCCCTTTAAGAAAGGATTTCTGAATCTGATCCTTTAGTCTCAGCATCACCTTTGTGGTGGGTAAACCCCCAAATTCTCCTGATGCTGAAATTTAGTTTCCTCTTTTATTCTCACCTAAAAATCCTATTTGAGATGCTTTTGTGAATCCAGAGTTTGAATTTCACACCTTCAAACCCCATCTATAACTACACTAAAAATAACTGCATGTCTGGCTTAATTATATCTTTTGCATCCACTCTTGATTCTTCCCAAATTTGCTCTCCAGGTCACACCCAGGCCTCCTCATGCCAAGGCACCACACACACTTGCATAAACAGGCCATGATTCATGTCCTAAAAGGCAGGAACACCTCACCCACCAGTTTTCCCCACAAATGCCCACGATGAAGTTACCTTTTCTCTCTGCTTCCACTTACTCAGCTAAGCAGAGGACAATATTAACAGTTGACCGACTCTGAGTTTACTGAGCAAGCCAAAATGATTATTTTTTGCTGGAATGCTCCTTAGGCAAGGAACTGTTCTTTTGCTCATGTACTCACTGAAACTTTCCCCACCAACTGTGGGAAAATATGCAAATGACACAACTCTTTCCTAAACGAGCGTCTTGAGACTCTGTCAGAATTTCCCTCTCGCCTGCAGGTACAAATCAAACCTGAGTGTTTGTTGTTTCTCGCTCTCCAGAACGGCGGCAGCAGCAGAGGGAATGTTCAACTACCTCCGGCAACGCTTCACCAGCCACCTGCGGGAGCGCGGCCGGCGCAGGGCCAGGCTGGTCTCCAAGGATGGCAGGTGTAACATAGAGTTTGGCAATGTGGAACAGTCCAGGTTTGTCTTTTTGATTGATATATGGACCACCATCCTGGACCTCAGGTGGAGATACAAAATGACTATCTTCATTTCAGCCTTCTTGGGCAGCTGGTTTCTGTTCGGGCTCCTCTGGTACGTGGTGGCCTACATCCACAAAGACCTGCCCGAGTTCAACCCCTCCATCAATCACACCCCCTGTGTGGAGAACATCAACGGCCTCACCTCGGCCTTCCTGTTCTCCCTGGAGACCCAGGTGACCATCGGCTACGGCTTCAGGTGTGTCACAGAGCAATGTGCCACTGCCATCTTCCTGCTCATCTTCCAGTCCATCCTGGGGGTCATCATCAACTCCTTCATGTGTGGGGCCATCCTGGCCAAGATCTCCAGGTCCAAGAACAGGGCCAAGACCATCACCTTCAGCAAGAACGCCGTCATCAGCAAGCGTGGGGGGAAGCTCTGCCTCCTCATCCGAGTGGCAAACCTCAGGAAGAGCCTCCTCATTGGGAGCCACATCTATGGGAAGCTCCTCAAGACCACCATCACCCCGGAAGGAGAGACAATCATTTTGGACCAGGTCAACATAGAGTTTGTAGTCGATGCTGGCAACGAGAATCTCTTCTTCATCTCCCCACTCACCATTTATCACATCATAGACAAGAACAGTCCCTTCTTCCACATGGCAGCAGAGACCATCCTGCAGCAGGATTTTGAGCTGGTGGTGTTTTTAGATGGCACTGTGGAAGCCACCAGTGCCACCTGCCAGGTGAGGACGTCCTACATCCCCGAGGAGGTGCTCTGGGGCTACCGCTTCGCTCCCATCGTGTCCAAGACCAAAGAAGGGAAATACAGAGTTGACTTCCAGAACTTCAGCAAGACAGTGGCTGTGGAGACCCCCCACTGTGCCTTCTGCCTCTACAACGAGAAAGAAGCTAAAGCCAAAGAGAAGAAAGGTTATGACAACCCTGGGTTTGTCCTTGAAGTCAGTGAAACCAGTGACACAAAAATGTAGTTCAGGTACTCATGGGACTGTCCCTGTCATCAGAAAGAATTCAATCTCCAGAGGATTAATAACTTAGTAAAACAAAAGAGAAGCACAGGTTTGGTTTTACTGTACAACAGCATTTCTTTTCTCAAAAGCCTCAAATCAAAGGGGAGCAGGACACCAGTGATCTCCAGAATGCTATTGAACTACACGGTATGTATTTCATAGAATTTATATTTTTATACCTGCGGGACATTTTATGGAGCTGCTATGTTGGAATGTCCAACTCAGGTTCCCAGAGGCATGAAAGGGTGTTAAAAATCCTGAAAATATGGAAAGAAGCTTTAGGACATGTTAAAGATACACAGCTGTTGGAATGAGAACATGAAAAGGGGAGACAGAAAGCAAAGCTGAAGAAACCTGGGGGACTTAGGAGCCAAAACCTCAAAAAAAGGTACATTTCTGGTTGCCAAAGTCCTCCATGAAAACAGACTCTCGAGCATGGGAACATTTGAGCACTTTTGAACATTCTGAAACAATTCCTTCCTTCTTTCTTTGAGGCTGGTTCAGCAACAGAAACGGAGCGTTAAGAGATGCAAAGTGCTTAGGAAACCAGGAAAGACAAAACTGGGGCCGTGCTGCTGCCATCCAGAACTCCAAAACAGGACTTCTCCCCTGTGAAAGCCTTTGGTTCCTTTCAGGGGAAAAAATAGCCAAGTGGAAATGAAAACTGCAAAAACAAGAAGCAGAGACCCACAATGGGAAGAGAGGAATTTTGCAGCTTATTCCCAACTGTCTCATCCCTCAGATTCCCTTCACTTCCCCGGGAGCTGGATGGCTGTGGAGCAAGGAAACATCTGAAGACAACTGTGCAGCAAAGTGAGGAGATGGAGAACACATTGAGTGCTTCCCACCTGGCACAGAGCACTCCACAGGGAGGAGAGAGGAAATCCCCAGCACTGGATGTATCCTCCAAAATAAACCCCAGAGCAAACACAGATTATCTTTCCCTTTGAAGCACCAAGGTCTTGTTCAAACAAAAACACAACACAGGAGCCTCCCACCAACAGTTGGCTTCAGATTTAGTCCCAACCCATCCATCTCAGCCCAGCAAAACGTGCAGCCCTCCAGGAAATGCCTTCTGCTCGGGGGGAGCTGAGCAGTGGGAGCATTTGCTGGGTATAACTGTTGACATTTAAGTTTCAAATGCAACAAGAAGCTTCAATAACTTTTTGGTGAATTTCTACTCCCTCACAGCCTTTTTTATTTTCTGCTGGTTTAAGAGGAAATAATTTTCCTTATTTTTATTTTCCAACTGGTTCTGTTGCTGGGAGTTCAAGTGGCAGAGCAAAGGGACTTTTTTTGGGAACTCTTTCCCTTGATGTAAGTCAGCTCATCTATTTTCAATGCTGTGGTAAAATGGAAATGTTGTTTAAAAGCTGCCAGACTGAGTGGTTTTAAAGGAAGGAGAGAATTAAGCAGGTCAAATGATGGCAAGAGAAAGTTATGCTGCAAATGAACAGTGTGAGTATGGAAATCCAACTCTGGGAACCAGGAGTGTCCAGGTCTCAGTCCCAGTGTAGCATCAACTCCTTTGTTGGTTCAGAACAAATCACTTCATGTATCTCAGATTTACCATCTGTAACAGGGGACATAAACACTTACATTGTACAAAGAACAATGCTATGAACAATTATGTCACTAAAGCACTTTAAAAGCCAATTCTCAACTGTCTCAGTCTTTCCTCTCCTCAAGGCACCACTGTCACACCCTTCACCTCTGGCTGGAAAGGTCAGCACCCAGAGTTCTGTCCTCCTCACACACCAGTGACTGAAAGTGCTGCAGCAGGGCCAGAATTGTGGGATATTGAACCAGGAGCTGGGACCTTTCAGGTCATTCCCACATACTGCGCAGTATTTTAACTGGACTGTTTTTGCAACCTTGCAAGCTAACAGTGCCAACTGTAAATACGTTTTTACAGTCCCAATCACCAGAGTATCTGAGTCCCTCCAACCTCAGTGCCCTGCAGATTGTCCCCCTGGAAGGACAGTTTTTATCCCCTCAAGCACACAGTGAGTGATCAGTGGCCATGCACAGAAGTCCAGGAGGGAGCAGGGCAGTGAAATGATGTCTGAGGAGCCCCAGGCTCGTCTGAACCAAGAGGTTGCTCAGTCCTCCCAGAGCTGCTGCTGCGTTTCCTTTCTTGGCTTCCTGTGCAGTTCCCTGGGTGTGATTTCCCCAGAAAGCAGCACAGGCAGAACTCAAGGCTTACAAGCTACACCTCTTACCCCAGGATGCACCAAGGTGCCCATCAAAGAAGTACCTTCACTGTACAAAAATAGCAAGACAAAGGGTCCCATTGGAAGGGTCAAACCCAGCTGTGCAATGGGATTCAGGGAAGATTCCAAATTTAAGGAAAACTGTTTTGGGATGTAAGTGCCAGTGGGAAAAATAAATCAAATTGTATCCAGTACCTGTCCAGGAGGTGGTGTCCACCCTCCAAAGTTCAGAGAGTCCTTAAAAAATGCATTTTCAGGAAGTGCCCTTGGAAAGCCATTTCAAAATCCTAAACCTCAATGCTCTTCACGACCCAAATATTGAACCTTTTACCCTTTGTCTACAGCACAAGCATGAGGAGGTGCTGTTCCATTTTTAGAAGTTTTAAGTGCTACCACAACTCAAACAGAAAGTACTGGATGAGCCTGCAGGGATGGTACCTGCTGTTCACTCTCCTGACAGTCCCACTCCCCTCAGAAGCAGCAAGGGAGGGGTGATGGTTCTTTTCCATGTTTTGGTGGTACAGGAGGGACTGGCTGCTGCAGGACCAGGAGATACAAAGGGGATGTATCCAAAGCTGACAGGGCCATGGCTGAGCTGTCAGGCTTACTTAGAGCGGGCTCATACTGGGACTAACTGGGAATCTTGGCCTGAACCCCTCCTCCCTGAGCCTCCCGTTGATTGTCACCTCAGGAAGCCCTGCCAACCCCGAGCAGGCAGGAGATAGAGCTGCAGCAGGGCCAGCAGAGCACAACAATGAGTGGAATTTCCTCTTTCTGTCCAGGGAGAGCTGTTTGTCACGGCGGAGATAAAGCCCAGGCCGGGAGGAGGGTTATCGGGCACACGGGGCCGGGCAGGACGGGCTCCGTGGAGAGTCTATTTTGGGGGCTGTCACCCCCACTGCCATTAAAAGCAAGTTCAGTTAAGAGGATGAAAATAAATTTAATCTTGCTGAGCAGAAGTGGCTGGAGGGAACCACAGACCCGATACTGGAAAACAAAGGCTGGTTCCTTCCCCTGTGACAGGGTTTCACTTTTCCAGCTCTGCTCAGGGTTCTCCTCTCCCTGTCTGTCTGTCCATCCTGCCATTAGTCCTTCCACAAAGTGGAAAACACAGAATCCCAGGATATTCTCAGTTGGAAGGAACCCACAAGAATCATCGAGTCCAACCCCTGGCCCTGCACAGGCCCATCCCTAAGATGTTGTGGAGGCAACAGCCTGGTCCAAACCCTCCAAAGGTCTGGAGAGAAAGTCCTGCTCCTCCAGGAGAGGAAATCACCCCATGTACTTGCTGCTGGATTTAAGGCCTGCAGGATTTTGCTGTGAAAGCCAAGCAGCCAGGCTTGGGAATAACGTGTCTGCACTGAGCTTAATTTATCTTCTCATTTCACAAACAACATGTTTCTTCTACTGTATTTATTTTAAACATTCATTCAAGCTGTGCATAATATTTCAATCATTTTGAAATAGATTTACCCTCCTGCTGGCAAATGAATAAGGCATCCTGACTGCTGGAGGAAGGGCCATGAATTAAAATAACTGCTTTTAGTACACTGACATATGCTGGGTACTGTCTCCACACACACTCTGGTAGTAACTGGAGAAAAGAGACCCCTAAATAATAATAATAATAATAATAATAAATAATAACAACAACAACAATAACAACAAACCCTGGCACACTGTTTAGATGCTCATCCTGACTTGCAGTGCTGGAATGTGGCAGATCACTGCTAATGCACTGCCACAGCCTGCCTGGATAACTCCTGCCTGGATAACTCCTGCCTGTACCCAATTCCTTGGAAACTCTGCTGCTCACCCAGAAACAAGTGCTCAGCCGAGGTGTCACGTCCCCTTCCCTCTCCTGTGCTTACAATCATGGGAATTCCGATGGGAACAGCCTTTATTTCCCCTTCATTTTGCCCCATCAACCCACCCCTGCCCTGAACCACCATCCCGGGGTGGCCCAGTTCCTGTTCCCCACACAGGAGAAACCACAGCACAGCGTCAGGAATGGGAGCAGAGAGGGAAGCTGAGCAAGTTCCTGAATCTGTGCTCCTGGCTGCAGCCCGGGGAACCTCTGACAGCACCAGCACTGGCCCTAAACTGCATTTAACCCTGTGATGGTGTCACTGGAAAAGTGAGGAAGGCTAAAGTTCTCTCCAAGGCTGCTTGAATAGGCACAAAAAAATACTTCCTGAGGCCAAGTTGACGTTCCTGCGGTGGAAGCATCTGCCTGGGGAGACTTACACTTGAACAAACTCCTGCTGCACAAGACAGGCAGAAATTCCCCCTGCTCAGAGGAGGTGGCCAAGCAAGGGGAGGCTGGAGATGAGACTTTGTGGCTCCTTTTTTACATTGCTGTCAAATTCAAGCACAGAAAGCATGGAGGGGCAGAGGAAGGGCAGGGACTGAGCTCTGCTCTGGGTGAGCAGGGACAGCAGCCAGGGAATGGCTGGAGCTGTGTCAGGGCAGGCTCAGGTTGGATCTCAGGCAAAGGTTCTTCCCCCAGAGGCTGGTTGGGCACTGCCCAGGCTCCCCAGGGCAGTGGGCACAGCCCCAAGGCTGCCAGAGCTCCAGGAGGGTTTGGATGATCCTCTGGGGCACAGGGGGTGACCCTTGGGGCTGGGCCTGTGCAGGGCTGAGGTTGGACTGGATGGTGTTTGTGGGTGCCTCCCAGCTCAGCATGTTCTGGGATTCTGTGAGTCCTGGCTGAGCACATCCCAAGGCAGTGCTGTGGGACAAAGTCCCCACGTTGCTCTGCTGGGACAGCCCAGCACGGGGGCGGGTTGGGATGCTGGGGACCACCAGGAATGCTGGAGACCATCAGGGATGCTGGGGACCATCAGGGATGCTGGGGGACCATCAGGGATGCTGGGGACCATCAGGGATGCTGCCAGAGGGAAGGAGCGATCCCGGAGGTTGTTTTCTGTGCTGCAGCCACAGGATGGCAGCGCTCACCTGCGGATCAGCCGCTCCCAGCTCGGCACGGCCCGAATTCCACGGAAACCTTGAAAGGCAAAGCAGGAATTTATTGGGACTGTTCCTTATTTTATGACGCGGAGTTCAATGCATTTAGTGACTTGTTTTTGGCACGGGCTGTGCAAGCTGGATGTATTTAGCCCCTTCACAGAAGTGTTGGGAGACTTAATTTGGTGCAGTGAACTTGGAGGTGATGTGTAAGTGGAGGGCTGGGGCTGTAAAATTCGGGCTGCAGCAGCACCTAAGACAGAGTCTGTGGTGGGGGGTGGATTAGGAAAGGCAAGGCTGCGTCTGGAGAGGCCCGTATTCCACCTGGAATTCTGCTCTGTGACTTCAGACCAGTCCCTGCTCCCTGCTTTGTGCCTCAGTTTCCCCAGCTGTTAAAAACCAACACCATGGTGGTTCTGGGTTAATGGTTGGATCTAATCATCTTGGGGGTCTTTTACAACCTTTATTATTCTGCAGTTGTACCTCAGGCCACCCCAGGAAGGCCCCAAGGCATCGCTCCAGGGTGGTTCTGCAGCAGTGCCCAAAGTGCCCGTGCTTTGGGAGTGCCCCTGGCACAGGGCAGAGCTGGCACACAGCAAGGAGTCCCCCCCACTGTGGCAGTGCCTGTAGAGCCCTCACATCACCTGAGATGGTTCTGGGAGCCCAGCTCACCTCCCTCAGTGCTGCAGCGCCGGGACATCCAACAGCACCACTCTGGATCCTGGAATGGGTTGGGAGGGACCTTAAAGCTCATCCCATTCCATGCCAGGGGCAGGGACAGCACCCACTGGAGCACCCCTGCTCCTCCCTGCCCCCACCCCACCCAGAGCAGGATGCTGCTCCCCAAATTCCCACAGCAGGGGCAGGATGCTGGTACCCCTCTGTCCACAGAGCTTGGAGGGTCTGGCTGGGGATTTTAGGGAGCTGCTTAAGGGACATTTTAAACCCTGCACACAACATCTCCCCCAGACTGAACCTCCTCTTATTTGACTTAACACTACAATATACTATTTTAATGTATATCTATATATAATATATAGAATCATAGAATGGTTTGGGTTGGAAGGGACCTTAAAGTCCATCTCATTCCACCCCCTGCCATGGGCAGGGACACCTCCCACTATCCCAGGTTACTCCAAGCCCCATCCAGCACGGCCTTGGACACTTCCAGGGATGGGACATGTGTACATATATAATATATATACATTATACACCATCCTGAGGGTGACAGAAAACCCAAGGACGGTGTTCAGGTAATTACAGGAACCCTCTGCCAACACTCATAGCAAAATCCCCTCCAGTCACCCCATGGAAAACCAACCTGGTGCTCCCAAGAGCTGCAGAGGTCCATGACCAGGCCTGGCCTGCCAGCACAGGAGACTCCTCTGGAGTGTGAACGGGGTTTGCAGCAGCAGGGAAGGTGAAGTGCATCCAACATCAGACTTTACAGTTCCAGGAGACAGAAAGTTAAGGAAAAGCCAAAGCAAATAACAGGTTTGCAGCAGTTCCTGGAAAGGAAGAAGCAGCTCCTGTGGTGAAATCGCTGTGCACCAAATTGCAGAGTCCCCAGTGCTCATCCTCCTGCAGCAGCTGCAACTTAGAATAAAAGGAGCTGAATTTTTCCTAGGATTTCTAACTCTCTTCTGATGCAACAGAAGAACCTGAGCTTTATGTACAGGGATTTCTACCTCTGGAGATGAAAAATTCATAACACACAAGCTAAATTACGTGTTGTCATTCCTCACGTGGCCTTAACCAGAGATCTCAATTCTCTTCTAATGTGACAGAAAAGTCTGAGCTTTATTTGCAGTGAGTTCTGCTTTCACAGATGAAAATTGTCATGCGTGTGTTATGCTGGGTATTGTGCAAAAATATACAAATAGAGTCTTTGAAGTGAATTTATAAACCCCAGCCCCTGATGTGCCTCTAGACTGCAGCTCTAATTAACACCAAATGCAGCAACGCTCGGTTTGATGTGGCAGAACCTACTTTGTCAGGCTGAAATCACAAACTAATTTCACTGAAGTTATTAAAAATACTGGATCAGCACAGCCTGTAAAAACTCTATTATTGTAATAGGATAATAAAGTGAAGCTGGCTCCCTGAACCCAGAGTTTACACACTGATGGCTCTTCCCTTGGGACACGGAGCTGGGAACCAGCAGCTGGTTCATCCCTGCTTTTGGTGCAGAGCTTCAGACACAGCCATTTACTGCCATGGATGTGTATGAAACACTGCTGGGCAAGTCCAGCTTCCCGTTCAATGTTTGCAACAACAGAAGTTATGGCACAGTTCCCCCATAATTATGTCTCATTAGGGCTGCATTGCACTTGTTGGGCACTAGGGTGAGAAATGTCTTTCTCTTTGCTGAGGGAGTGTCTCAGCACAGGGAAATCCCTCTCCCGTGGGATAGTATTGGGAACCTGCAGTTGTATGGAAATTCATGCTTGGAGTTGAAATACAATTTTTAGGTAAAAGCAGGAGGCCACTTGGGTGTAAAGGGGGTGGGTTCTTTGGAATAGAATAGGAATAGGGATAAAATAGAGTAGAATAGAATAGAATAGAATAGAATAGAATAGAATAGAATAGAATA